GCATCGTAAACGTAAAGGTGGAAAGCTAAGTACTAAGAAACAGTAAAAAAATTGAAGCGCTGAAAATTTTCCTTAAAAATAACGATATAATTATGTTGATTCAATAAAAAGCTAAATTATGTCACTTCTGTTCTTCCCTACGATAACTTTTCCTTGCGTAAGCTGTCAATACATGCTGAAAGCATCAATCATCACATGGTCACACGTCGCCGCTGTTAAGACCTGCAGTCTCTTGTTTTAAACTACATTTTTTCGGCGCATAAAGTAAGTAATGTTTGTTTTAAGATATATTAAATAAACTTTAAAATTTCTAATTTTGTTAAAATAATTTTAAAAAAGTATAATTGATTTTTGACAGAATTTTAAACGGAAAAATTAACTTTTGTTTACAAAATTGAAAAAAATTGCTGACGATCGATTTTTTGTCAATTTTCCGGACTAAAAAAACATGATTTATATGGTCTTTTTGGACGATCTAGGAAAGATTAAAAAATGTAAAAAAATAATAAAAAATACTTTGATCTTTCCTCTTTATAATCACATAAACATTTAGACATCAAAAATTATTTTCGTCAAATTTAAGGCCGTTTTTATCATGCTATGCTCATTTTCCAGCAATCTCATGCCTACCTATTATTATATTAAAACACGTTTAACTTAACACGTTTAACTTAACACAAGATCCGAATTGACGTCTACATGTATACATAAATCCAAGCACCTGTTCAAACACATTGACCTCGATTAAAAGAGATTACAAGATAGATTTTACAAATATATAATATATAATATGCAACAACTTTTAATATTCTTAGAATACATCAATAATAGCATTTCTTATATCTCTATACAGACGTATAATCCAATTTATCTATTTAATCTTGAAGTTTAATCTTTTTTTAATCTAGGTTTTAACTTTTTTCATCTATTTAAAAATTTTTCCCTTATAAATTTTTATTTTTATTTTGGGCTTTTACGTATTAAATGTTTTTAAATTTTTCCTTTATGTTATTATTAATTTTTAAATTCAGGTTTTTCTTGCTTATTTATTAAAAATGCCAAAAATTGTTTTTATTATAACAATAATTTTTTTTAATATTGAATTTAAATATAATCCTTCATAGTATATTAAAATGATTAATATAAATAAGATATAAATGTAAAATAAAAATATAAATGTAATATTTAAATATTATTAATATAATATACATATATAATATATTAATATTTATTATAACAATTGATATAAATTATCATTAATATAACTTAATATTTTACTTATCAAAATTTTTACTATATAATTAAATATATAATATTGAATGGATTAATATTGAATTAATAAATTTACTTAATAATAAAGTATAAGAATATATAATTACATAAGACTAAATAAATAAGTAATAAGTTAAGAAATTATTATTTATAATTTAGTAAGTAAGTAGTAAGTAAATAAGTTTTTCTTTATAATAATTTTTTCTTAATAACAATTTGATATAACTATATAAATTAATATGAGTTATTAGTATTAAAATTTTTAATAAAAATTCTTTTATACAATATTAAAATGATATAATAGTATTAATTTTTTATTATAAATTTCCTTTATCTATAATCTTTGAAACTCTTCTTTTTCTTAACCTTTATGTTTGTATTTTCCTATGTAATTTTTTCCCATTTGAACAAGAATTGATATGTTAAACCATTTTTTTGTTATTTCTGTCTAGAATTATCCGTCATGATTTCCTGTCCATCCTTTTCGAACTACTTTAGTTTTCTTTTGTCCCCTATCTCTCTTTTAATGCTATTTCCCTTATTTGTTGTTTGTTCCTCTTCTTTCTTCTTCTTCTTTTTCCTTCCTTCCTTTTTTCTTCTTACTTTTATTTCTTCTTTAATTCTAATTTTAAAAAAAAGTTAAAAATTCATTTTTTTAAACAAACTTTTTTGTATTGACAAACCCCAGGGAGAATATCCCCGGTGGTGAAATGTCCAGCTGAATGTGGTAATAGAGTTTTATTTTTATGTAATTCATATATATATATATATATATATATATATATATATGAAAGACGGGGGAGATTTAGTTACCAGTGTTTTAATTTTATATTTTATAGATACAGTTACCTGTGTTGACCGGGATGTTTGCGAGAAATTCTGTCAAAGCAAATCTGGTTGCACTAATACTGCCTATCCGAGGCTTGTGTTAAAACTAATGCCCAGTGGTCTCAGAGGTTTAATGATGGCTATCATGATGTCTTCCCTCATATCATCCTTGACGTCTATCTTCAATAGTGCCAGTACTATTTTCACTATCGACATTTGGAGGAGAATACGAACCCAGTAATCCGATATGGAATTGATGATTGTTGGAAGGTATGTCGATATAATTGTAATTCTCCAAATGATCTTTATATGCATATTCATGTTCATTTACAAATTTTCCTACCTTTCAATTGAAAAAAATAAAGCTTAAAAACATTATTAGAGTTGCTGGTTTTCTTGTTCAGGTGTTGAAGGAAATGTAATAATTATTTGGCTTGTTTAGTGATTGCATGAGTACTAACAGCTACTTATACAGGGTAAATCTTCTTAGTCTGATTTGAGTAATGTTTTTAGCTGTATCATTATTATTTGATTTGCTATCCTCTCTAACTCATCATACAACATCTAAGCTCCTACCCACAGCTTAGAGATACACGTGAGCTGTTCCAATCAATGCTGCCACCTACATACTCCCAATGATGATGTGTATCCCCAAGGCGTCCTGCGTAGAAGAAAGATTCTTGGAAATAGTCCAGAGTGCACCAACCACAAAAGGACAACTTGAGCTGCTGCTTGGTATATTTCTCTTATTTGCCCTACCTCGCTATGTTCTCCTGCTCCGCCTGATTGTATACCACATGAGCTTCAATTGCTCGTTCGTAGCTACAGAGAATGATGAATGCTCATATCAATTTTCTTCGCTCTCGAGGACATACTTCAAGCAATAGATTTTGTGGGATACTTTGACATAGCGTCATTTGTATCATCTATGTTTTGTCTCAACTGAATGCAGCCACTGACAATTTAGTAGCTTTCCCACACAGCCTGCACAAGAGTAAATCAACTATTCTATCAATTACTTGATGGAATTTGTTCTTAAATATAACAGCTTCTTTTGCTGCACAATTCATCATTTTTTTCTTCAAGAATCCGTTTCTAAGCCATTTCTATGATTCAGGTTCTATCACTTTGCACACTTTCACAAATGTACTGTGCAAGGCATTTTCCATGCACTAACCTTCTTATCATAGATTCTCTTTCAATAATCGACCAACATTTCTGTCTCCACACTGACCTTTTCATTCAAAACCCACCCTTCGTAAGTACTCATGCAAGAACTTACATTCTGATGTTACACACTCTTCTACCCCTATCAAAACTCTACTATCCTCTTTTTATCGCGGCATAAGACATTTAAGCACCTGTTCCTTATTTTCTTTGTCATTTGGTCCAAGTTTACTAGGACCTTTTTGGTCCATTCAACAATACCTGCGCCGTACCTTACAACTCCAGTTGACCAAATGCATTAATGCCTCAAGTCAAATTTCCACCATTCGGCCTTAAAGTTACAAATTCCTTGTTGGCTATTCAGACGCGATGTACGCTGACAACTATTTTTACTAACAAGTGCTTCGGGCATAATCATTCTATCACATTTGTACACAAAAGTACTCATGAATGTATTCTGATAGACGTTGGGTAACTTGGTGTAAGAACATCGTGAAGTCGGAGCAGGAGAAAATAGCGAGGTAGGGCAAATAAGAGAAATATACCAAGCAGCAGCTCAAGTTTATACACGCATAAGCGCACACATATATATTTAATACTGGATGTCGGAGTAAATATTACATCATATAATGTATCACTTTAAGAATTATTATTATTATTATTACTTTACATGATAATAATAGAAATCAATAAATAATAATAATAATAGTTGTGACACCCTCTGGTGGTCGCAGCGCCAATATGTCACGTCCTCTGGTCCCGACGCCAATATGTGACACTGCGCTGTCGGCTCGTGGTCAACTCCGAGTTGCAGCGCGAAGCTGTAAGGTTTCTTCCGCCAGCGTTCTGGGGTTGACTCTTTGTCGCTGCCACCAGCCTGTGTCCCGGTCGATCTGGTCGTTCCCGGTTCGATACCAACTTGTCGTTCCCAGCTCACTTCCAACGTCTGGTTACCGGAGTAACTGCTTTGATCTCAAGTCTGACCTACCCACGTTGTGATTTTGATCTTAGGTAGACGAAATCAATCAGGCGTCGTAGTGCAAGCTGAGTCCGGAGTGAAGGTGATATCGCACAAGCGTAAGAAAAAAAAACAATAAACAAAACTCAAGAGGTTCAAATTATCTTTATCCGTCTGTTATATACAGAAGTGTGTTTCTCTCCCAGTCCGTTTCTATGGATTTGTGACACTTTTGCGTTTCTTAAGCGAGTTTTGGTATCCTAAGCCGTTCGTCAATATAACTTGCTTTTGGTAGTGTGACGGGTTTTAAAAGCAGATGGCCTAAACACGTATATACGCACATATGAAGGTTAATTTCCGCCTAGCAACAGAATAAAGATTACGTGAAGTCTTATGACATTTTGGGAAGGCAGGTCAAAAGGTCGACTGACCCAATTACCCGTAACGGAAAATGTCTAGACAGAAGCTAGACAGGGGACGGAAGTAAGTTAGAATTCGCGCCAAAACCTAACACACGTGACCGTCAAAGATTCACTCGAGGATCAGTTGTTATCTGGACTTTGAAAAGGCAAGGCCGAAGCCGAGGCGCTAGTGGTTCACGAACGGAAAGATAAGACGCATTTGATAGTGATGATTTATCCAGTTCTATCCAGGCAACTTCGAACAAGAAGTATACAGAAATATTCCTGTTCGAAAATCACAATTTGAAGACGCAGGTAAAGATATATGTTGATGATTCAACCTGCGTAAAGAAAGTGTATACCTCTGTTATAAGCTAAATTGTATAAAGAGGAAGAAGGAAAGAAAGAAGAAAACCAAAGAGAAGAGGAAAGTGTACGTCCCTGTTGTAAGTCGAGCTGTTTACAGAAGAGGAAGAAAGTGTACATCCCTGTTGCAAATCGAGCCGTCTACAGAAAAAAAGGAAGGAAAGAAAAAGACGAAACAAAGAGAGAAAGAAAGTGTATACCTCTATTACAGACTGGCAGTGTGTGAAATTGTGTTTGTGCCGAGAAAAGAAAAGAAAAGAAAGGACATTGATATATAAAAAAAGAGAGAACTGAATACAAAAGATAAGTAATCACATTTTGGACCCGTAGTAGAAAATATATACACACACATGAATATTATGTTTTTTTTCGCAAACACCTTTCCACATGTAAAACAATAATTATAACTCCTATCCCATCTCTTTTGTGTATGTGCGTTGGCTACTGCATTCAATTCATAGTAATTCATACTTGTATTTTGTATGTTCGGGTTCAGTTGAATCCATTTTGTGTTCGGCGAATTTGATATCCCAAATAAGTTCGAGATCTGGTCGTCGGATGTTTTAACTCATACTTATCTGTTCTTTTATTTTGATATTTGTATATTTGTACATATTAAAATTCTTGTATCAAAAATCGCTAAGCCTTATAGTTCATCCTTGTATTGTGGATCAGTACTCGTGTTGAAAACGGAGCAGACCTGGGAAAGATTACTGTTCGATTATCCCAATCGAACAGTGGTCTTAAAAATATTTTTGTTTACCAATTGTCCATTCTCACGATCTGAGAGAGATAGCTTGTATCTCTCCACAGGTGTGAGAGTGTATATATCTCCTAGTCGGCGTATGATCGCCCTATAACCCATTCGTCGACTGGAGCATATGACAGTAGGAAGGCGAAGTCGAAAGGACGTGGAATCTCTCGGTCAGCTTCTGCGAGGCAACACTCTGGTTCCCGCTACTCGAACGATCTCTGACTGTTCGGAACTGAACTGTGACTGCAAATGCCTGGGGACGTGGCTTGGGTTCTCAGTAAATCTCGATTTCTAACAGGCCAGGAAAATTAATTACTTCCCATTTTTGGAAGATTAAACACTTTCCATTTCAGGAGGTTCTCCCTCGTCCGTGAGGGGAGGTCGGGGGAGAGTTATTCTCCTAGACTTTTCCTCTCTCACATTGACATCTCATACCAATCCCCTCAGTGAGTGTTAACAACTTCTCCGCCTTTCTTACATCTTCACCTCCGCCTAACACCCTTACTATCACATGACCAATAACATCCGACCGTGCGGGTGTGGCTAAGCTGGCCTCCTTAAAATTATTATCCAGAATTTTTGTTTACAAAATTCTCTTTTTCTTTTTCCCATCGGCCAAAACCTCGTGCTTTCATCCATCACTGTCAAGAACCAGCCATCTGGCTTATTCTGTGAAGTCAATTTTTAACTGGGGTTCCTTGTTTAATTGAGAAATTAAATTCTTTATTTTCTCATGCCTTAAAATTCTCTTATCACCAGATGACTTTTTTGACGACGCAGTATCCGACGTCGACACATTGATAAAGTAACAATAATACTTCTCTCCATAATTTTCCTTCTCATGCCAAAATTCTTACACACACCACATGGCTTCTCTTCGCTGAACCCAAGAACCAAAATAAATGATATTTTGGAAAGATAATTAACTTTCATTCTCCCTCGTCCTGTATCGCGCCCGTCTCAAGCCGAATTTTTTTGGCTGCCATGTGTCGACCGGCTTTGTTTTTCTTTCTGAATTCTGTTTCCCTTGGCAAGACATTCCCTCACCATGGTATTAATCAAATTTAACAGAATCTCATATCTTGCTTTTTCTTACGGATTTTCTGTCTCGTGCGAAAAGTATCTTTTTTCGTAAATCAAATCAAATCTTCTTTTTAACGTCGCTCAGTCTATCTTTCGATATAGCTCTTTCTCGACTTAAGTCTTTCCTGTTTTTAATTTCTATAGTTAATTAGTTAGCCAATTACCATAGCTAAATAGTGTCACATAGTAATAATGACACTACTACTACTAATAATAATAATTATAATTATTATTATTATTATTATTATTATTATTAGTAGTAGTAGTAGTAGTATTTCCTTTGATTTCTGGTGAATACTCATTTCCTTTCGTATCTCAACCAGAGATCTAATGTCAGAAATGGCATCATGTCATTTTCCGCTGAGCAGTTTTGTAAAAGAAAAAGAAAACTAAGATAACACACATTTAATATAGATACCCCTCCCGTAAAGTAAGAATAATTTTTTCTATTTCTTTAAGACTTGGGCTACCAGGGATTCATTCAATGGGTCTATTGAAATATTTTCCAACCAAACCGAGAACTCCAAATACAACTGGAATTATTGTTGTCCTCACGTACCACAATTTTTAGATTTCCACTTCAAGATCCTTGTATTTTGATAGTTTTTGAAGATACATTACAGTATGCAAGAACTGCCATGTCAATAAGAAAGCACATTCTATTTTTGCGGTCTCTGATCACAATGTTTGCTTTTTACTCATTCGATCAAATAAAGACGTAAGAAATACGAGCTAAAACTTAGTAATGGCTGACAAATGCTTTATCTTATTAAGAAAAATTGAAAATACAATCAATCATATAAAAAGATATTATTGAATTTAAAGTTTATAGAATTGTGTATATGTAGTATAGGTATGTGCTCACAGATAGTCATAATTTTAGTGGGCAAATTCTTACTTGCATCTTTCAAAACACTCGACGATCCTAACTTGGAGACCAATAAATTCGCATGCTGACATGTATCTATTAGTTGAATTTTGATCTGAAATTATCACTGTATAATGTTCAATTTATGTGAGTGGTAATCAAATAAATACTTTGAGGAAGAAGGAGATTATGTTGAAAATGAAATACTAGCCGTGTAAAATAAATACTTTTTCAGAATTAGGCTAATGAATTATAGAAACAATATATAGAAATATACGAAATAGAAAAATGTGGAAATTGAAAACAAGAATAGCACCAGCCTAGCTACACCTGGAATGATAAAAAAAAGGAACACAACAACACCTTGAAAAAAATCCCTGGAAATTCCAGCTTAAGAGAAAAAGAAAAAAATGCCATGATGAATACATCCCACACACGAAGAAGAACTTTGTCCATGTAACGCTAGTGATGTTATAGGAGTTAGAAAAACAAATCATGAAATTTAGCCATAACAACACACCACTGCCTGCCTTCGGTCTTTCCGCAGACTTGGTACGTAGTGTGACCATAGCAGAAATCGAATACTACTACTACTAATAATAATAATAATAATAAATGGAAAATATAACTAAGAATAATGTTAGGCAAGCTATAACAAAATTCTGAAGAATGGAAAAATATAACCAAGAATAATGTTAGTTAAGCTCAAATAAAACTGTGACGGTTACACACCTGGCCCAGGGTCGAATCCCTTGGTTACGGCGCCAACTGTGACGTCGCTCCTCCTGGTCGCTCCTCCTGGTTCCAAGCGTGCCGCTCCAACCCCTTGGCTGGATGATCACCAGCCTCGCCTTTCCCAACTCGCTTCCAATACCTGGTTACTGAAGCAACTGTACTGATCTCCGGTCTGTCTACCCACGTTGTGTTTAGATCTTAGACAGACAGGACCAGCAGGGATTGGGGCCGATACAAGTTGAGTCCGACGGGGTGGCCAAACACAAGTAAAAGAAAAAAAAACTCACGAGACAAAAAATTACTGATAAAAGGGTGACAACCTTTTATATCTAATGTCCGTTACATAGAGAAAAAAATTGTTCTTATTTCCCGACCCGCTCTGTGGACTATGGCACAAGCTTCTATCACACAACCTAAAAGATTTCGAATTGCCTACTCTTTAGAATTGTGTATGTCGGAGTGTGGTTTAGTTCGACACTGGGGCTAATTTCTATCGATCATTCGCAGTTGATTCTTCTTCGACTTGAGTTGTATTTCTTCTTCTTCGTCGACTAAGATAGAACTTCTCTTGTCTTCGACTTGGCTGCAACTTCTCTTGTCTTCGACTTGGCTGCAACTTCTCTTGTCTTCGACTTGGCTGCAACTTCTCTGCGGCTTTCGAGTAATCTTCTTCTTCGTCTGCTTGGGCTGGAAGTTCTCTTGTCTTCGACTTGGGCTGGAAGGATTTCTTGCCGCAACTCAGCCGCAACTCTCTGTCGTCCGAGGTGGTCTCTTCTCGCTGCCGTCCGGGGCTGAACTCTTCTGTCTTCGATTTGGGCTGGAAGGATTTCTTGTCTGAGGATTCTCTTGCCCGCAAAGGGGCGAGTGAATCGGGCCCGATGCCCGCGTTCAGGCTCTTTCCCTGCCCGCGGTCCAGCTGCAACTCCACTCCAACTCAACTCCAACTGATTTCTGTCGACTGGGGTCCTGCTTTTATTGACGCCGCAACAAACTGGGGTGGGTCTGTCGGCGTCAGGGTTTTCTCAATAACTCCAAAAGTCGCATTATTTTTGATTTCCCATTATCGCTATTGTTTTCACCCCTACTTCCTCACAGTGCCTTTGGTGGGGAGGTGCACACCCATCTCTCTTAGTCTCTCGTATGTCAGGTGACCGTTTTTCGACCAATGGTTCCTGATCGGGCATTTCTTTCTCTTCTTTTCTGCAGATCACGTGGCCGTTTCCGACCAATTGTTATTGATCGAGCATCCTTTCTCCTCCTTTTCGGGCGTGGTTACATCGTTCTTGTTTTAAAAAAACAAAATCCAATTTTGCCTTTTTTCTGCACGTACGAAAAATGACAATTTTGGCTTTCTCTCACCTGTGCTCTGTCAACCAGCCCGCCGCTAATTAGTTGTGACTTCAGGAAAGAATATTGTCGCCATCTGTGATCTGAGACAATCGTTTTTCCACCTCTTGTTTTTTGTCAGACCCGGCAGTCAGAAAATCTTAATTTATCTGAATTGAAAACATCTTTCACTCGTCAATGTGGGGTTCTAATTTTTAACAGGTCAGAATCTGTATACCGTTCCACCGGTCACTCCCCCTCAACCCAAAAACACTTTTTTCTCTGATTAAGATTTCGTTTTCATTGTTCCCAAAATTTCCCTTTATCCAAATTGATAAGGTGTCTTTCTACGCAAAAGTAGGCTAGATGCTTTGA